ATCATCTGATAATACTGAATGTTCTAGATGTAAAAGACAGGCTTTTTTGTGCAAATTTTCCATTTCGGCAAATAAAAACATGCATATTCTATACAATCTGTAAAACCTGACCATCCATTGCGAAGATGTTGGGATCTATTTTAGAGCTAATTTGCAGAGAAATGTATGACTATGGTGTGGTTAGATTTCCATCCCTTCTGTTCCAGCATGGAATGTTTCATTATAGCAAATAGAAACGTGGGCCTTCTGAACAGTTTAGTACCAAAACAAATTCTGTATGACCAAAATTAACTGAAATACAGAATGATAGTATTTTTTTCCTAAAAATGGATGCTTTCACATAAAATCCGCAATTTTATTCTTAGATGAAAGAATTCACTAACTTGGCATCCACCAGATTTATAATCAGCAAGTCTAAATATATCTATTGAAGTTGACCCCAGCTTCTAATTAAACACGTCTACTGCATCATAAATTTTTGTAATTGGAAACCGTTTTATTTGTGATTTGTCAGTTTTAATTTTTTATTAAATATGTTAATAATTGTTATAATTATTAATAATTTTAAAAGTTGATAATATATAGTTATAAATGAAATATAAACAATCCAGTAAAAATTTAAAGGTAAGGCGGGGCAGCTAGTGGAGATTTGTCAGGGATAAAAAAATTAATCGTTTAGACATCGATACAAAAAATGCCATCTTTAGGTCAATGTGCCCGTATGAGCATCTAGCAGCCTAAATTCCATCACATCACCCCTACTCTTCGTCGTCTTTACTGGTTGCCAGTGAAACAGCGTATTGAATTCAAAGTACTTTTATATGTTTACAAATCAATTCACAAGTTATCACCACAATACATTTCCGAATTAATTAAGGTTCGTTCTGCAACTTGCACTCGTTCCCTCCGGTCAACAACTGACTCAACCAATCTTTATTTTCCATCCTTTCCGTTAAAGTCTTGTGTGGAGCGATCGTTTATGGTTGCTGGGCCCAAGTTGTGGAACTTGTTACCTTTATTTATTCGTGAGTCACCTTCTGTCACCATTTTCAAAGAACGACTTAAGACCCACTTATTCTCGTCCCTTTAATTTATTTTTTTTTTCCTATTTCCATGCCAGCTAGCTTTTTTAGCCTTAACTAGGATAGGAGGCGCCCGAATCCGAGACTCAACAGGTGCTGACTGTAGTTCAATTAGATTGAACCCTAGCCAGCGATGAGGGCGTATCCCCATACTTCGGTTTGGGTGCTGGCATGGTATTCAAATTTCACTTCTTTTTATTTTGTGGTTTTGGTTTCCGTTCCATCTTTACACTTGCCTGATAGCGCTTAGAGACTTTTTGTATTTTGCGCTCTATAAATTAACCATTTTAAAAAATGTTCTCATTGGGGAGGGGGACATCTCCTTCCAAACCTTTTCCCGGCCCGTCCTACGGTCCTCGGATGGCGTTACGCACCAAAATACAACTCTTGCTCTGCTGTCGGAGAAATCTTGATGTGCACCAGAAAACCTAAACAACTACACTACTGTGGCTTGGAAGATTTGATGGGTAGCAACATTCTTTTACTCTATAATATGACTACAGTTATGCAAACAAATGTGGACACTGACACGATTTGAGAATGTATTTTTATTCAATTCAAAATCTGAAAAGCATACACTTTTCTTTTTTAAATAGCATTGAGACTGCTATAATGTGGGTCCCAAATCTCCCGCAAATTGCAAGTCTCTCCCAGAAATAAGGACGTCCTTCTGCACCCTAACAAGAATGTACTGGAAAATAACCCATCTCCAGCAAATTAATTAAATCTGCATGTTCTTACTATTGTATTACTTTTTACTGTCATTTGTCTCACAGAAGTTTGTGTCTATTTTGTATTATTTTTATCACCATAAGCAGCAAAATAAAATTAGATGTTCTGAGAAAGCTATTCAACCGATCTCCCGGAAATTACTTCTTCTAACTCGGGATTCCTGTATGTAGTCCCAATGCATTACATTGCTTTGAGTGTAAGGCTACTTACCACTGTTGCATACATGTTTCAATGAAACATTAATTTCCGATATCAAGGACCAACCATTAAAAAAGTCTGGGATGAACAAAGGACCAATCATCTGGATGAACAGACAGTAACCAAAAGATAAATACGTCATGACCAATTTCTGGCTCGAACCACATCCACTAAATTGGAAGCTACTCTAAAGGCTCTACCACTGAACCATGTGGATGTATCATGTCTTTTAAACTGAAACCATTTAACATCTTGTGCATGTCATACCACGATATGTGTCATCAACATATGGTTTGCTAGATCGTCATTCCCACTGGATCTGTATATCAACGTGCTGTTTCTAGGACCGTATTATAAAAATGTATTGCAAGATGAAATAAACCTGAAAAAAAAAAATATGAATTACAATTCAGTGTTATAATATCATAAAATACTTCATATTAAAAATAACTCATCCTCTGTTTGACTGTCATACAGTAGGATACCAATTTTATTTCTTGCAATGAAGCTTAATTGAGCTGTACAAGAATGTATTTTTTAAAAATTCTAAGTCCATTAACCAGACTACAAAAATTGGCCTGTATAAGCATCAGCTTCAGTTGTGGTCATGTGATTGAATTGCAGTTTGTTTTATGAATATTAAATGACATAATTTTGAAATTTAGCTCAAATTACATCATAAGTTTTGTTTTAAGATGACCAGGGTTATCGTTTTATTCATTGAAAATTGAATTTGATGTGTAATGGTCATGTCCAAATACAACGGGTTTGAGTTTTCTGAAGTTGGGAAGACGGTGTTGTCAATGGAAGTGGTTGAGGACCAGTTAGTGTGTGTATCTACTGGTCTACTGTGCTAAGAAAAAAAAATATAAGCACAACTTCTGCAATAAAATATAACGAAATAAAAATACTTTTAAACAAAAAAAAATCACTAATTGTATTTTAATAATATATTTTTATATGAAAAATAATATATTTTATTATAAATATTAATCTTTTTGATTTTGAAAAATTTGATTTTGTCAATAATTTCCTTAAAAAAGATCAATATTATATATACTTAAGAGTGATTTCCAGCTTATCAGCTTATAATAATGTGATGCTTAGACTATTTTTCAGTTGTCAGAAAAAAATAATCTTTGCTGTCCCAGGACCCTGGGATTGGAAGGCAAGCACCTTAACCACCAAGCTCCAGCTCCACTCCATCAACATTGCAGGATTTGAACCCAGGACCCTGGGATTGGAGGGCAAACATCAAGCTAAAGAGTCACTTCTTGACTTGTCACTGTATTTTTTCTTAGCAAATAATTGTGAACGTAACTAACCCAAGTGATGCATTGCACGACCGATGTTGTAATTGGTTTCTTGGGTATCACCTCTTAGCTTTTCATATTCTTTTAAAAATGCAACTGTCTTTGAAAAAAGAAAAAAGTGAACATGAAAGATCCCATCAGTTATTTGGGATTTTAATCAAGTACACTTATCAATTCAATTAATAAAGCAATCAATCATTTATTCAATCACTCCATCAATATGTTAACCAAAGAATTAAAACACCAATTGAACAATCAATTAACTAACCAATCAAACAATCAATCAATCAAACAATCAATCGATTGACAAATCAATAAATAGACCAATTAGATGGGTGATCAATGTATCCAAAAAACATTTATCTACACAAGCAACTGATGTACTAACTAAAGGTCTGAATTTCGCGGTTGCACCACGAAACTTACCCTTTAAAGAAATACATGTAATTACTAATTTTTAATTTGCATGTTCACAACTCGTTGATAAAGAAAAAGCCCAAGAACTAAGAAGAGGTGTAGTCCGTATACTTAAGAGAGCCAAAGCCCCAATAAGCAACATTTCAAAAGACGAAAGGATAACTTATATAAATCCAATCAAAATACATTAGAAATAATTATACAAAAGCTTAAAATTACAAACTACCAAATTTAAATAAAAAAAAGCAAAAATTTAATTTTAAACAGGATTTTAAAAAAAGAAGCAATTGAACAATGCCAATCTATCAATAGATCAATAAATTGATCGTTCAATGAATTAATAAATTGACAAATTATTTAATAAATTAAATTAATCAAACAATCAATAATCTACCAAGTAACAAATCCATAAATCAAAAACCTGTAATAAACTAATATCAACTCAAATTAATAAGTTGTTGAAACTAACATTTTTCACCATCACTTTGAAATACTGAACCATGATGTCTTGTACCACATTTTCAAAGTTGGTCTCATACTACATATTGCTAGGCTATACTTAATTAAAGATGAATTGCTTTTATCAAATTTTAATAATTTTTATTTAACAGTAATTTTGTATGGCATCTTACCTGCATTATCAACATATGTCGCTTTGTAGGAAACTTTTGGCAAGCAATATGAAGGAATGTTAGAGCGATGAAGAGGTTTGTCATGGCGGAGTCTGGGTCCATCTTGTACCCACGCACATACTCGCCTAAAATAGTAAGAAAGCAGAAAATAGCACTAGTTGAGATGATATTAGTTGCCATACCGTAAAACCTTGAATAGAAGCCCCGGGCTACTGTTTTTAAGGGATCTTTGGATGGCCTTCTTTTCGAGGCTACTTTTGCACAGTAAAGAGGGAGACTTCTTTTCAAAATGAATGCTGTATATTTTAGGAATTACTACTATAAACCAATAAATAGGGCCACTGTAACATCAGTTTGTATCATGGAGTGTATTAACCGGCATTAAATTACCTAAACTACTGTGTCCAAGTGTGTTTTTAAGTTATTTTGTTTGTTTGAAAATGGGCTTCTTTTTGAGGCTACTTCTGCAAACTAAAGAGGGGGCTTCAATTTGAGATGGGCTCTTCTAGAGATTAAGGGCATCGATTGGAGGTTTTACAGTAATTAATAATAATTATTATTTAATATATAATATTATTAATTATTTGATTAATGAAATTAATTATTAAGGGTTCTAAATGTTACATGAAATTACCTAGTGCATGCTTGTAACTTCCCCTATGAAATGCATGGTGACCATTCAACAGGGCAAGAGCAAAGCTGTCAGGGTATTTCTGTAAATCAATTAAACATAATATTATATTAAATAAACAAGACTCTGACATAATGAAGTATTTATCTGCAAGTGAAGTTAAGAAGAAATTACAATCTGGATGTGCACTGAATTTAAGTACAGTTGAACTTGCCTAAATCTAAATGAATGCATGGTGAAAGCAGTATTAAAATGTACAAGAGTGATGTCAATTAAAATATAAATATTGGACGTTCCTCCTCACTTACCCCTATTGTAAGACGAAAACAAAACCGCATCAAGAACTTCATGTCATGATGTTGGGCCATCATCAATCCTAGCAGATTCCAGGGCTGCATGTAATCACCATCCTGAATAATACCCACAGGTCGAACAGTATATCAACCCATATGTAATTATCTTCACGTGGTTACCATCGTATAACTTGTATTGTAGTTAATATCAAATGATATCATCATTGTCATTACTATCATGTGATTATACTCATGCAATGATTGTCATATGATCTATGATGTGATCATGGGAGGAGATGATGGGGACATGTTCCCCTCCCCACTTTTTGACTGCAATGTATATCAACAAGATGCCTGAAAATTCATCAGTAGGTTTAGTAATAATTTTATTATTACTTTTTATTATTACTGAATGATTATCATTGCTACTTACCTTTCTGCAGGCATTTCTTAAATACCAGTTTGCTTTTTGGTTTAGAAAATCACCGCTGAGATACGCTGCAAATATCATCATATGTCCAATTTCCTGTAAAATAAAACAATTTGGATTTAAATTTTTGTTTAGATTTATATAACAATTAATAATAATTTAATAAACTTATTTAAACAACAAAAATAGATTTAAACAACAAAAATAATTACACATAAGAGTACACTTGGTAAAACACCTAAATATAAAAATAACGCTTACAAAAAAATAGCAATTCAACTCCATATAATCACAACAATATACTTACAATAACATGTTAATAATGTTTAGAATAAAAAAAAAACATCACATATTCCAGGAGATTTTTGCTTACTCCTGGGAATTGAGCACCCACCATTCCCCTCCCCCCCCCCACATCCGTGTACCACTTATTAGCCGAGATACGCCACTACTGTAAAACAGAGAAGACAGAACTGTTTTGATCTGTGTATCTTATTATGTAACTTATTTAATCCATTTTAATGATTAATTAAATATTTGAGAGTTTTTTCAAAAACCTAATTTGTTAACAATCATATTAACAAGATAAATTGTCTTGAAAGTTTTAAAAAAAAATGATTGCATAATCATAATCTGAATCACCTTCAACTTTAGTGGATGATTTGCATATTGATTTGACCACATGGCTGACGACAGCAGATGATGCAGCGCTGTGAACTCCCCACAGCTTGCCAGGGCCTGTGATACCTTCTTGAATAATTCCCACCAGACCTCTTTCGCGATCAGACTGTCGTCCCCTATCAGATTACAGGGCTCAGCCTCCGTCAGTATTCGTAAGTGACGTTGATATTTTAACATCCTTATTTTTCTGCGTGTTTTCAAATCATCTGTGGTATAATTAAGAGTAATAAGTATAACATACAAACAAAAGAAAATGTAGTCCGCTAATGGACAAGTAATATGTGATAATAATATTAGGATTAATCCTGCGCCTTTTGCAAAGAGCTAGTCGTGCTTATAATTTAATGTCGATACAGGCATTGGATTGGTTTCTGACAACTTTCGGTGATTCTGATTGATTGGTCGTTTCAGGGAGCCTTTCCGATTGTATCTGGGACAACTACACTAGTATGAAGACTGCAGTAAACCACTGTAACAATAGCGTAACGATATTAAGAAACCAGATTCATACATTCAATGCCACATCATCCTACAAGCTACCCATTTATACTCTTGGGTGGAGAGAGACAACTAAACTACAAAAATCAAAACTACCAAAATCAAAACCATACAGGCATGTCACATGTTTTTGTGACATAGAGTTTAAAAGTGACTCAATCTTACTTGAGATATTTTCGTTGTGGTAAAAAGTATCAGAGAAGTGATGAGCCATCATTCTGAGTCCTTGCTTAGCAAACATGCGCATATCGCCTTGGGAGTACAACAACATGCACTTCTGGTGGATCAGCTGTATGTCTTTTTCTGTTGACGAATCCTCATCCTCCATCTGTGTTTCTGTCAACCAATAAGAATCATCGAAATTGTAATTATGGTTAAGTTATCTATCCAATCATTGTAATGTATTACAATGTTTTTAACTATTTAATGAACATTCAAATTCAGAATATTTAATTATTATATTATAAAAATGCACACATTCTTACAAAAATAAAAAAAAGTTAATTCGCAATTAGAAGAATTTGTAAATTAAAAAAATTAAATTAAAAAAACAAAATTGAAAAAGATTGTATAAAAAATTGCTTTCTTCTGGCATTGTATTCAAATTAATTACAATTACTATTATTCTTTCCACTGCTAATTGTAATTTTTGATATCGCAAAAATGTTATATTTTGAATATAATGTATTATATATTAAATAACTTATTCAACTTAATGCTGGTTGCTTGTACTTTTTTATTTAAGCACTGATTTTTCCTGTTTGTTGTTGTACAGTATTCTATTTGTTAAGAGGTTCCCTGAATACAAGCCTTCTCTCCAGGTCAGTTGGAAGGTTTACCCTAAAAGGTATACTTGCCAAATTAAAATGTTGAACTTTTAAAATACAAAAGAAGATTTTACAATACCGTGAGAGAGGACATCAAGGGCTGCTTGAGATCTACCAAGCTGCTGTTCAATTGCAGATAGCGCCAAACGAGCATCGATGTGCGAGGGCGCTAGTTCCAGTACGCGCCTATATGCACTTGCAGCATGCTCTTTTTCTTCTAACGAGTTCAGACACTCTGCATACCGAAGCCACACTGCGGCGAGATTGTACCCCTCGCTCTGTACTAGAGTTGCAATAATAGGTTTTGCATCATTGAAACAACCTATAGAAATAAAATTATGTCAATCTTATTGTTGGTTAAATGATAGTACTTTTATTTTTCTGCAATGTAACTGCAATCAAGGCACTGACATTAATTAACCCACAAGGTACCCAGTGGCGGCTCAAAAAATTCAAAATAACGAGGCCCCAGGAAGAGAATTACAGAAAAGGAGGGTTTAGACCTATTCAGTCCCACTATGGGTGGGGCTCAGGTGTGAAAATTTATGACCATGAAACCTGAAATGGTACTCAAACTTCTAACTGTGACCTGTTCTGATGACAGTTTAAGGCCAGTCAACATCATCAGCCACCTGGAATTTTTATACCTCCATGCTGGAATGATCCAACAGTCACCGACAATGTTGATTCTAGTCTGTCAGTCACTTGATCCTCTGCATCTGGTACATTTAACTACAGGTAATTGAGCCTTAATTAATCACTTGCCCATCCTTAAAATTCACTCTTATTTCAACAGTAAAATATAGTAATATGTCCATATATAGTTATGATGTGCCTATATATGGTGATAATGTGATGTCATCATGACCATATTTAGGCATGTCACAGGTCAAATACAATTTGATAGTGGACAGGGCTTAATACACTTCATTGAATATTTACCAACTTCAAGGTAAGCCTCTGCAACGTAAAAAAACAGATCCCCAAAGTCATCTACTGATTGGTCAAACAAATCATGCAATACTGCCCTCGATGCCTGCAGATATTTCGCATAAATTAAGCACACGCCAAGCTTCACTCTCAGATCGATCGGTAATTCCTCGGCAACCATCACATCTACTGATGGAGCTTCTGATCTATTTAAAACAACAATCTAAATGTGAATACGGGAAACAGAAATTAATCAACACAATTAATCAACATGAGGTATAGAAGACTTTTAGGAGTATTATTACAAAAAACATTAAATTAAAATTTATTGAAAACTGAAAGCCCTCTTGATAATTTTATATTTAATTCATGCTTTTTATATTGTTTTAATTTTTTTCTGTATTATTTTATCATTTGACCTGGAGATCTGAGTGGACCACCACTGATGTTGGGCCTTGTCCAAGTCTTGCTCAAATACTCTCCAGGCAATTTTATCCATTGTGTATATTTATTTTTGTGTTGAATTGGTAATAAAAAAATAAATTTAAAAAATGAAATTTCCATGATTTTCATACTGTCCTTTGACCTTTTCTTCCCAAAATTGAATCCTCTCTTTCTTGAATATTATGTACCATTTACACCAAATTTTATGATGATTCATTTATTAGTTTTGCGTAATCTTGCTAACAGACAGACAAGCAGACAGTGGTGAATACATAACCTCCTTGATGGGGTTAATAAATTCAAGCTTATGCAGGGTATTAAACATTAAGCATTATACAAGTCTTGGAATGATACGCTATATAAGATGGATATGTTATTATCATTTACCCCGAGTCAGTCTCGGCTTGGGTGATTTGTTCCATGATGGCGGTAGAGTCACGTGAGGTCATCTGCACGCCACAATGATCACAGATCACTTGTAACGCCCGTTGGTGCTGCTTCTGACATATGTGTAGTTCAGCCAACATATTCACATCTGCCATTTTAAAAAGAAAATTAGGTTCAGATGTACTGGCTTCAGATATCTGATCAAACAAATCACATCTTATTTGTTCAGTTTGACAGACATATTTCTCTCCAATGCTGAACTTTGTTAGAAGAAGTCTGAGAGACAGTATCTAGAGACAGTACTGTATGTACTCAACTAGCTTGTGCACAACTGTTGTTACCTTACAGTACTAGATGTTTTACATTGGGAGCCTGAAAGTCACATGGTTCAGATCCCCTTTTAGTGTAAACTAGCAGTCCACCCTTGAAGACTATGTACTTGGTTCAGATAATATTATCTGATCAAACAAATTATGTCTTTCCATGTCAGTTAAAAGTCATACAGCACATTATCAAATAAAGTTTAATCAAACTTTGTTGAGTCTATATTTTAAAAGTTTTAAAATGCTTCCATTAGGTCAAAATAATAATAATAATAATAATTTTGGCTTATATAGCGCATTATGCTAAAGCCTCAATGCGCTTACAATGCGCTTAACAGTAAAAATAAAATTCGGGAAAAAAAATTAAGAAAAATACAAGCTAAAAAGGTGAGTTTTTAAAGCTGCCTTAAAATCATCAATGGAAGTTGCCTGTCGGATTGTAATAGGCAGAGCATTCCAAAGAAAGACAGAAGCCCAAAAAAAAGAACAACTACCATAATGCTTCGTCGACGGGCGAGTGGAATGAGCAAGTAGAGATTCTGAACTAGTTAAGTAAATTCAATAATTGCCAAGCCACAGGACTCATATGGGCTGGAGCTTATGCCCAGTTTCAAGTAGCGAGAGGCGAGTGAGAGTATGATTCTCCCCCTGGGTGGGACATTGGTTCACCGCAGGTTACCCCCAGCAATTTGCAGACTAAAGCAATGTAGATAAAGTACCTTGCTCAAAGACACAAGCAAAATGCACAGCAAAGGATTGAATCTCCGACATCGAGGTTGGGAAACCAAGCCATTTTCACAGCGCAAAATTACTTTTTTTAAATAAACATCACCAATGCTTTTCAATAAAGTTATGCATTGAAACATATACTAAAACTTGGTCGAGCAGGAGTTTATTATAGTGTGGAAATACATCCACTTACTGGTTTGCTTTTATGTTATACCATAGAGCTATTAAACAACTAGAGTGTTGACTATGCAGGCAGCCATCTTGGATGGTACGGACACACAGCTCTGCGTATTTTGAACATCGAATGCCTTCGAGTTAGCGTTCCAGTATTATCATTACCGCTATGTGTTATAGCTAGTACACTTTGTGACAAATACAGTCTACTAACCTTCAGATGTGATCAGAGATGGATGCTTGGAGACTGCTTGTTCCAGGATGTTAATGGCCGAGTGTACATCCTTATTCAAGTGGCAACTCTATTAAAACAAACACCTGTTGTTATATTTCATTCAAACTTCAGGGAAAGATGCATAGCATAAAGTGAACTACAATAAAGTTTAAAGCACCCTGTAAGGTTTGCCAATGCATCAGGCCTAGAATTAACGAATAAAATTAAAATACATTTTTTGTTTTTCATTTGAAACATTTAATTTCTTCCTCTAAATTAATGGGTACAATGTATGAAACATATTTTGAAAATTATTATTTTTTCGAAGGGGAAAAAAGAAAAAGCAAATGAAGAAGGCAATTGCCCGAAAAATTTTAAAATCAAATCTTGTGACGGACCAGCTAAACAAAACAAATGAAGCCAGAATACAAACGAGACAAGATGAGACAAAAAGACAAGATAATAAAAATAACATACCAATAACATCGATAACATAAATCGCAAATGAAAAATAACATTAATTATACATTCTGAATATTGCAGTACCCGCTGATATTAAGGGATCGGATTCAACACATGTTGTATTTAAATGTTTTTTTCTAGATTTCCTCACATTGTAAACTCTAAATAATAAATAATAAAATTATTGGTCAAGCTGAAAGCTGTTTACAAGACATACCCTAGCCATGACCCTTGCAATCTGTAAACACTGTTCCCCTTGTTCTATTGGCAATAGATCAACAATTTTCTGGTACGACTCGATGGCCTTTTTGTGATCGCCAATCTTCTCATACAACTTTGCTCGTTGCCATTGAAGACCAATGTTCTGCTGGTTTTGCCTCAATGCAGTTATCGAACTGGCATTCCACAGTTTTGTTGTCACTGCTCAGTTTTGGCCCAGAAGTGTTCAATGGCCAGAAGGCATTAAGAATTTAACTCCTGCTTTTTTTTGTTGTTAAATATTTGACAAAAAATTCTGTTCAAGGTAAATATGTAAGATCATTATTAAGTCTAGGGTAAACAAGATAATACCTGAAAAAATTACATTTAGAGGGAGCTCATGTTTATCTGAAATTCAAAGTTTCAAAGTGCAATCTTCACTTATTTGATAGGCAGCGGCTAGGAATATTGGTACTGTACACTATCTTGGTAATGGTAAGTGTGCTTAACTATTGCCAACCCTAACCTTCTTTATCATTACCAAGATATGGTACTTCCTTACCTTTAGTTTAGCAGTTAATAGCCTGTCTTGTATCGTTCTGTTCTAGACACATCTCTGCCAGTTTCATCCACTCATATATGTCCTATCGGGTGTAGATGGGCAGCTATTAATAGGAACTGAATGGCAAATATAAAAAATCATTTAAACATCAAGCATTCAACTGAATTTGCTATTATTTTGTATGGCAATTTTAAAGAAATACTGTACGGTGTAAAATTTTAATTTAATGTCAACAAAAGATATTGAATGAAAAACTATTTGTTATATTGAGCAGTAAACTGGTAGACAGTATTTGGATATGTGTACTGCACATGGATGACTCATAGCCAAGTACTATAGTACAACTGTTTTCGCGCACAGTGATCATGATAGTGATTTTTGTGTATATAACAGAATCTGGGCACACAATAAATTTAAATAAAGATACAAAAATACAACACAAAAATATAAATTTAGAAGAATATGACAGTAATTACCGTATGTACAAATTAATTAAATAATTGTTTCAAAATATTTATTAACATTAGATTTCAAAATTGACAATTAAAAGGAAGCAAGCAAATAACAAAAAATGTTATAAAACCCTTAAGCTACATTTAACCTACAATATATTACCAACCAAAATACAAAAAAAAAATGAAAACAAACAGCTCAAATCCAGGCATTGATTACAACAATATTTCAGAGGTAATAATATATTATTGATACGGTAAAAAATATTAATTTAGAAAAATATATCATCAGTATATACAAAGTGACTAATTGACTTACAATAATTCATTAATTAACAATTGAAATATAATTTAAAAAAACTATGATTAATTAGAAATTAAAACAATTTATTTCAAGGATTAAAATCAGTGCTGCATTTTAAAGTTAAATATATTGCTAATTGTTAAACTGAATAAGAAGCATAAGAAAGTGGCAGTATTGTAGAAGAAGACTTATTTCCAGTGGGATCCTTCTGGTGGTGATTGGGCAGTACACCGGGAGACAATGGGCGATAATGCACACGGGTCCAACGGCTTAAACGTCTCATCCGAAAGACCGTGTGTTATTGTGACATATATTTCAGTTCTCTAGCTGAAACACAAGGAGAGGCAGCGATGGGAATTGAACCGCGGACCTAGAGATCTCCACGGTTCAGCACACACACAGCAGCTACCACCAGATTAGCCGACTGATCTAAGCTGCTCCCTAATACTTTTACTCATAAATTTAGCAATAGTATCAATTCAAATTTCCAGTAACTGACCTATCATGGTAAAGCTTATATGTGGAGAATATGAATACATTAAAAAGTCAATTTTCATGGTTTTATCACAGATGCTGGTTTTGGCATGGTAAGTCTTATATGTGATTGCATGCATTTAATGATGTAATAATGTAAATGATTTTACTGTTTATTATTATTGTTATTATCTACATCTGAAGAGATCCTTTCATTTTTATAAGTTATCAATCTTTATAAGAATATCATTGATTGCGTTTATTTATGTATTCTTTATTTCTTTAAAATGTAGAAGCTCGAGCTCAATCCTTAGCACCATGGAGATTGCACAGGAGGCTGGTGACTGTAAATGATATGGTGTTGATTCATGTGACTAAATACAAACCTTGCTAAAAATTAGTTTACAATTAATATCTGTGAATAATTCACATACCTGGTGCTCCTAAAGTAAATGAATCCTCCCCAACAATTCCTGTTGATGTCATTGCTTCATCAACTAAAAAAAAATTACTTTTGCAGTTAAGTAGGCGTCAAACATTGTTTTTTCTTTTCACTAAGCACCACTATCTAATAAGCACCGCACAGTTTATTAGCAATTAATTTAAATACAAATGCTTCTGCATTTCAAGGATGCATATACACAACATTTTATGACCTCAATCATGGAGATATAAACAAATAAATGACTGAACACAGATTAAATAATAGTAAGGTTGGTCTGATAGGCCTATGTGTAACCATATACGGTAATGTTTTATCATTACAAATAATTTGAAGTGCTACCAAGATATTTTATGGGTTAGGATGTTGAAAAAACAATGTAAAAATAAAATATTTTTATCCTGATGACAAGTGGTGATGGATGACGGAGAGTCAATCAGTTTGTGCTAAATTGCCCCCTGACATTGCACTGGTGCCAGCATTTGGTGAAGATAATGATGATAAACAAAATAATTTAATAACAATGATACAAATGATAAAGCTGAAGAAGATGCTGATTAAGATTTTTGTTTAGGATTTTAACTGAAATGCAAAAAACAAGATTGATGGTGATGTTTAAGATGGATGGATGGTTAATATAATTAAGTGTGGGTGGGTGATGACTTTGGCAAACTCCAAATAATATGAGTGGATTATTTAAAAGATGTGCAAGGGAGGAAGGGGGAGGATGTTAGTAAAGATGGTTAGAAGACCATAAATTAGCTTCAGACTGAGTAGAACACTTTAAAACTGGGTGCTCCTGTTCACACCCTTGTACCATAATTACATCACTGCATCCTCCTGATTATGTCCTCCTAAATAATTATAATCAATCATTACTAAATTGAAAACAATATTTCTTGACGTTTAAATTACTAAAAATCAATCGATCAAAGGAATATGTGATTATTACCAACTGCATAAGATGACAATGTTACTCTGTCATCCTCCTCATCACTGTCACCACTGCTGGGGACATCTTGTTGCTCTTGTTAACCACTAGTTGTGGCCTCATCAATGCATGTTGTCTCATCTTCTAACTTATCCACATCTTCCAGTAATTCCTTCAAATGCAGTTGAAAAGATCAAGTTTTCCATGCAGATACAATTCAATTTACAATTATTCTTATGTTTCATTAAGTTTTAGGTAAGCTATGCTAGGGCCACATAAAATACAGTTTATGCATATTATTGCACATCCGTACACACATAGCTACACTATTTCCTACATCTTAATTTATCAAATCCTAAATATGTAGCAATTTCATATTTGAATTTTATCCATGTAGCTTCTATATTTCTTACACACCAAAACAATCCAGTATCCAAAGTTTCTGTGTACTTCCTTATCTTTGGCATAGCACTGAGTTCGCTCCCAAGAGTTACCGGAATCAGAATACTGACAGACGAACCCATGTGTGGTGCACCAGTGTGCGTCATTGGTCTGCAAACTATTAAGCAATTAGTAGAGCCGCGCATAGTACACTATAGGAAAATTATTATAAGAAGGTCAGATTTAATGCTTGAAAAAATATCCTGAGGGCCTGCAGCTCTACTAATTGCTTAATAAGTCAATCAATGTCTTTTAATGTAAGTTTTGATAATCAACTGTTGTAGCAGTCATCGGTTGTCATAGTGATATGATCAGTACCGTGTGCGTATTTACATTAAGCTGTGCGTATGCTGATTTGTGCTCATGCAGTACGCATTAACTTACAGAGCTAGTGACCCATTTTCAGAATACACATTCTGTGGTGACCCAGGGCATAATATTGTCATACCAAAAAAAATTGTTTTGATTATTATTTACTTAACAAAGTACAACAAACTTTCGATATCTTGTGCTGAAAGTTTCATTTTATAATATGGAGGAATGACTGATCCAGTGATTCGAAACAGATGGGGTACCGGGAATGTCCTTCACAGATAGGGTGTTAATACCACCTTAGCCCCACCATGGTTGGGGCTGAGGTAAGAAAATTTATGATAACGAAACGGCACCTAGATGGCCAGAAATGGCACCCCCAGACTTAAAATTTGAATATATTTTTTATCCATTTTTTATAATTAAAAATAAAATTAGGTGGGAGGGTGGAGGCTGGGTCCCCATTGAATCTGCCACTCAAAATTTGTAAATGTATGAAACAATGATGGAGAGATTGGCAGCAGTTTAACCATGAGATTTGATTCTAGGAGGAGATTTTGGGTTGACAATAATAATAGGCCCCTACCTAGCTTTCGTCTTCGTAGTTACTATGCCTGGATGTATCTCGTATTTTTTTCTTTATGTCAGAAACATCTCGCTAGAGGGGCGGATCCAGTAAGGTGGCGGGGGGTCCCGTTTTGCCACTGAATTTTTAAAATTTCAATGCAAATCAATGTTTATGTGCTAGGCCTATTCGCTTATCTATTTTTAAACTGTTGTGTCCCCCCTACCTAGCCTACTCCCTGCCCGTTTGAAAAATTCTTGATCCGCCCCTGCTCGCGACCCTAGGCCATGACTCCATTTCACAAGACAATGTAGGCCTAGCCTAGGTGTATTTCTTGGTTGCAGTTTACAGATTGTAAACAAACCATGCTAGCCTTGCCTAGGCCCTAGCCTATCCAATCCATTTCTACACTGGCAGGCCCTAGTCAAGGCAAGGCTAGGAGGAATTATCACATTGATACGTACTTTTTCAGCGTCATTCATTATGTAGGCCTAGGCCTACAACTTAGAAATCATTGAAAATATAAAAATGAGTACCTTGTGCCAAACCCATCAAACCACTGTTCAAATGTTATTTCACCACGCAAATATCTCAACAATTCCCCTCATCAACACCGTAACCACCCGTAACCACTGATCTCTAACTATAGTAGGCCTAGGCCTACATGTCAAAGCTGTTCAAAAAGTGAACTACAGTTTGTGGTGGATGTGGTGGGGGATGGAAAAGAAATGATAGTCTATCTTGCCAGTCGCTAATACATTTCGCGCAATAATGGAGCAGAGGCGCCTTCGGTCGACAGGCCATTGCACATGCGTAAGAAAAGAAGAAATTCTTCCTGTAAAGTGTTTGTTGGGGTGTGAGCTGATTCGAAGGTAAATTACTAGTTTTGCTAAAATAAAAGTTTATTTACTAATATAACTATCATCATATTGTGGAATCATTATCATAGTATGTACAGAACATTAAGTTAGTTCAAGTTGTTCTTGATTCGGAGTGTTATCACAGTACATGCAGGGAGATGTAAATACAGGTTGATACAGCGTTTCCACGCTTGCTAGCACAACGTGCTGTAAGCCTATTGTTTTGCAATACGCCTTTTTCACGAATCGGTAGACATCTTGAAGTGATGACAAACATTGCGAATCAGTGGTGCGTAACCAACAGAAATAAGATAAGCTTTTGGGCTGATTTTCTGACATCATGTTATTTAAAAAATCATAACTCCATAACGGGGCGTCGTATCCAAAAAGTGTTTCCAGGAAAATGTTCTTAAAAGACCAGTCTACACCACTATATGATTGAAAAGAAATTGAAAAATTGTTTTGACCTCTGAAATCAAGATTGAAAAAGAAAAGCCTATCTAATAGTAGTGTATTAAAATAGGCCAATGCATTACAGTGCAGTAGCATAGGACTTTCGAGTTGTTACTGTTCCAAGTAGCGATAATATACATATTTCTCTTATTACAAAGTACAAGTTATGTTTTATAAAGCAAACCATCATACAGTTAGGTGTAATGCAACTTCTAAGTCTACCAGTTTACAGACATTATTTTATATTATATTATACTATATTAGCTGTCTCTTATACACATCTAGATGTGTATTTTAATACACTACTGAGATAGGCTTTTATTTTTCAATCTTGATTTCAGAGGTCAACAAAATTTTTCAATTTTTTTTCAATCATATAGTGGTGTAGACTAGTCTTTTAAGAACATTTTGCTGGAATTTATTTTTGGATACGACGCCCCGTTATAGAGTAATGATTTTTTAAATAACATGATGTCAAAAAATCCGCCCAAAAGCTTATCTTATTTCTGTTGGCTACGCACCGCTGATTCGCAATGTTTGTCATCACTTCAAGATGTCTACCGATTCGTGAAAAAGGCGTATTCAATCACGTAGAAAATTTCCAGAATGTTCCAGTCAATTCTTATATTTTGAAACAATTAAAATTTGAATTTGAATTTTCCCATGAAACATCCGACAAGCAAAATGTGGCATCATGAATTACCATATATTTGTTTAGATTTCTTGTCGTAATTGAGGTTCTTCATCGATAAAGATACCTTTACAAATACAGGTTGATATAGCGTTTCCGCGCTTCTAGCATGACGAGCTGTACTGTTTTGCAATCAGTTAGAAAATTGCCAGAATGTCCGAGTAAATTCTTAAATTTTGAAGTGCAGTCTCATAATTTAAATCAGAATTTTCCCATGAAACATCCGACAACAAAATGTGGCATCATGAAGTACCATCTTTTTGTTTAACTAACTTGTCGTAATCGAGGTTTGTTCTGCTGGATTATGTCATTGAATATGTCTAAGCCTAGGGGCCAGGCCCTATGTGTATGTCTGTGTACACATTTAGATCATTTTACTAATTTTAAAGTAATTACTGTGTTGTACATATGAATTTCATGTGCTACACATCATAATCAAACAACACCACCATAAAATATAACGCATAACTGAAATGACATACAAACGCAAATAATATAAGTTTTCATAAACGTTTGAATTACATACATGACGAAATTCTTCCCCTTAGAAGAAACGGTCACTGGTAGGTTGGATGATTGATTGCTAATTGCTGCATGCTGCCTAAACGGCCTTTACAATGAGTAAACAAGACCTTGGTAGTAGGAGTAGTAGTAGTAGTATTTAAAACATAAAATGTTTTAAACCAAAATCCGACCATAATGAAAAAAGACAGTAGCTGTACGTCTGTGGATTTACTTTACTTTTTTCACGAATTTCGCTAATGTAAAACCGTGACTTGGCGATCGGGAGAATACTAGCCAGAAAGATGCATCAGTATTTTATTAGTTCTCAAAAAACAAAGATGGTAATTTTGGTTATTTTCAATACGCATATGTATTGAAAATGACATGGTGTATTGGTGTTTATGCTGGCCTAAATAAATATAAGAATACGATTCTTTCTAGCCTATTCTATTTATTTTATGATCGTGTGGCGTACAACAGCAATGTTTACTCACATTTCCGACTATCCAGGGGCTATTCTACAGCTTACAGCTGATGTATTTCAATCTAGGCTCAGAGAGTAGTAAATCTCTATTTTATAGAGCCTCCGAATCGAGCGATGAATATTTATTTGACAGAATTTAGGAACAGAGAATAACTCGTCATGTATTAAAATCAAATGCTAAATTGATTTTATAACTGATATTCTGTATCTTCGTTGCATACGATCTACAGACGATTACTCGCTCTCACGGCTAGTGCACAACGTCACGAACGAATGAGAAGCCCATGTGCTTGAATCGTGGGCGATTTAGAACCGTCCATTTTGCGGCTGGGTATTCATTTTGTATTATAACTATAAATACACATGCCTAAACATTACCGCATTTAAACATGTGTATTAACCGTTATAATAAACATGTTTAAATATTATATTAAAGCCCCATTCCCGGCAAAATTTCACTAAAAACTGACTTTTTTTAGAAAATATTTATTTGCATTACTCCAATTATTATAAATCATGGAAAAATATTGGCATGAATTTTAGTTTTACGCAAAAGAATAAAAAAATGAGAAATACAGACTATTTCTCATAAAATATTACCATTTTCTGGACGAAT